CACGTACTTCCTCTGTAATATAATTTTTTTTTAAATTAATTCAAAGCAATAGATGTTCTGAGAAACTGTAATAACCACTTCAATATTACTTGCAAAAGAAAAAGAAAACATTATAAATTTCTTGATGAAAGCAAGTTAAATTTACCTTTCTTGTTTCAAATGATAAATACATAAAAATATAAATAGGAAATGAGAAACAAAACACATACGTATAAAGCAATCATTGAAATAAACACAAACGTTAATAAAATATATATAACTCATACATTTATAATCACGAAATTTTGCCCGAATATACTGACTGCAGAATGTGGGCGTATTGGTATGCCACATGTATGCGAACTTCAATGTGGGCGTTTGGAAGAAGGGAAAAGCTCCATTAAATCATTTTTTATCTAAACAAAAATAACAGAGCGATTTTGAAACTTGGAAAACTTTTGATTTTCTATTTACTTGCAAGATATAAAAAATTAGTGATTTTTGTTCAAGAAGACAAAATAAAAAAATGTACTTTAATTCGAATCGTGTCAATAATGGCCAAAGAATACAAAAGAGTAAATTTTTTAAAAAAATATTCAAAGAAAATTTTCTCCGAAATCAATAAATGAAATAAATTCAAACAAATAAAATGGAAGAGAAGACGTCTTACTTGTTGGATGTCTGCGAAAGTAACCAGAGCTCATATTGTAACACTAGTGAATAAATAGTTGAAAACTTTTATACAGACTGATATATTAGATGCAAAAAAAAAGAACAAGTGAGTTTTTTTTTTTTTTTTTTGTAATTACTTGTGATTATACATATATATATATATATATATATATATATATATATATATATATATATATATATATATATTATTTGCAGAATTGCGAAAGATATATTAAAAACTTAAACTCTCTGAAGAGTGTGAGATGGTCCGTTTTAATTAATTTTAACTTTATTTATTCTACCTTCGTTCAGAAAATTTATCAAGGTAGAAAAAAATCTCTTTCCGTCAAAACGTAGAAAAAAGAACAAAAAAGTGGTAGAAATTTCAAAAGAATTGATAAGAAAAAATGCAGAAACATTTCAAGTAAATTTTACTTTTCTTTGAACGCTAGCTTTTGAAAAATGAGATGAAGTCCTCAGAAGTCGTGTGGTATCAGGATTTTTTTCCTACCAATATGCCTACCTGTATTTGTGCGTAAGTGTATGTGGACACGAGATATCTTCTTTGGGTCACACATAGATCTGGGAGAGAGATGATTTTTTTTTCGTGATTCATAAATGCCCACATTTTTAAATCCTTAGGTTTCTTTTTTCTTATTTTTTTTTTTGCCTTTGATCTTCTTCCTCAATTCTGGTATCGAAATTAGACGAGGAAAGTTACAGTAGCGGGGTCGTTTATCCAATCGATACCACTGAGAAAACAAAGAAGACAATTGCATAGCTAGAAAATAAATTATACAGGATGCGATGGATAAATTATCATCTATATTAAGCAAAAATGAAAATAATACTGACATGATATTTTAACAGGTGTATTGACCAAAATTACACAAAAATATCTTGAAATACTACAAATTATATTTATTCAATAAAATCCCATTGACTTCAACCCCGGCCTCCAGACGACTTCGAAATCCGCTCAACTCTTCTGAACGGTCTTCTTGTTTAAGTTGGTGAATGCTGCCGTAATAATGCTGCCCACACATAATAATCATCGCGATTTTTAATCTGGGGAGTTAGTTGGCCAGATGTAAGGGGTGGTGTGGTTGCAGAAATTGTCTGACAGATATGACTGGATTCTCCTGCTGTTGTGGCACAGTGCTGTGTCCTGTTACCAGACATAGGGTCTTCCAGAATCTACCGTTTTGACCCAGGGCAACACTACCTCCTCAAGGCATTTTATGTAGGCCTAAGTGCTGAGTCTGAGGCCCTGTTGGAAGATGGGGGAAGGCATATCGTCGCCATCAGCATGATGTCGACTGGATAGATAAACCAATTCTTTCCGAATCATCTACCCTGTCCTCAGATTGTCACTCAAACACTCCAAAATGTTCCTTCACTATCTGTCTATATTTCTGAGATGAGGTATTATGTACATTATTTACATTATTCGGACTATTGTCCTCATCTTTGTCGCCATATTTATTACAACGTTTCGGCTGTTGTACGTTCTGGCCTTCATCAGGTGGTTGGAAAGTCGAACTGAACCCTTTATTTCGCTCACTGGGGTAGACTGTTCTAGTTCCAAGTGCCGTGTTTAATGGATGTCAGTTATCAATTATCTCCTGTTAATTTCCCTCTGAAAGTTCTCCACTGCCTTAAGTATTGAACTGACTCTCTTTGGGTCCTGTCACTGGATCTTACCAACGCCTTTATTCACTGTGCCATGTGTCCTTGAGGATATGATATGAATTTCTGAGTTCTTCTTTTGTGATGCTTTTCCAGATTTTAATGCAGCCTCTTTCATTTTTTTTTTTTTTTTTTTTTTGAGGGGTTTCTTTCTTCAGAATCTTCTTTAAGAGATGAAATTCGTGGTGTATCAGTTTAAGGTCCGGTGATTAACTTGACCGGTCTAAAACAGCCTACCCTTTTTTCTGATGAAGTTATTTGTTGTGTTGACAATATGGTTGGGTACGTTGACATACTGCATGATAAACTTCCCCCCGATTAGTTTGGATACATATATCTCTAAATCGGCAGGCAAAATGTTTCTGTAGACTTCTAAATTAATTCTGCTGATATTATGAGTTACAGAATAAACCGGAATTAGCCTCTGCCAGAAGCAGACATGCAAGCAGGAAAAAAGAATGTTTCAGCCAAGCTTGGCTGATGAGCTTTTATGCTTTGGATCATAAGCAGAGCCTTTTCTTCACCCCATCTTGGCCTTTTTATCACTTTGATGGAGATTATTATTGGTCTCATCAGTCCATTTTCTTCTTGAACTTTAGTCGCTTATCTCTTTCATCCAAATTCCAATCTGGTTTTCCCATTTTTACTGATGATGAGTGCCTTACATCTTGTCGTATCGCCTCAATATTTTAACTCTCAAAATATCTTGAACGGTGGATTGTGAAAACTTCACCCCTGCAATGTGGAGGTTACCGCTGATGATACAGACTATTGTTTTGGGTTTTTCACCCTCAAAGCTCTCACAATGTTTTTTTTCTCATCAACTGCAATTGCTTTCCTTGGCAGACCATTTCTATGTCTGTTTCTCAGTACACCAGTATTTTCTGTCTTTTTTAGGACATTCCAAATAGTTATGTTGGCTATACTCAATGATTGGTTAATGGCTCTGATGAATTTTCCTTCTTTTCTCAGCTTCAAAATGGCTTGTTTTTCTCCCATAGGTCGCACCCTCGTCTTCATGTTGGCTTATCTATTTTACAAAGAAAGGTAATATTTGCAGTTGAATATCAAGGCTAAAACCAGGAGTAGTAATTCAGACCTATTTAATGTTTCTTGGGCCTTTTCTATATATATTTTCATAATAATTCTTCTGATAAACCTTCTTCTATCGTACCTCAAGTTTATGAATTTAAGCACAATCGAAGATTGTCAGCAAGTTTTCCGTCAATTTACAGTTTAAAAGTCTCTTCTACCCTGCAGAACTCTTTTCCGGTTTCTTCCTTTCTTGTCAAATTTGATCTTCAACGATTTCAATGCAATATCAATCGTTATCTTCTCTCTTCTAAATTTTTGTTCATATTCATTCTAATTTCTCTCCCATTCTGTAAACCCTTGAGCCTTAGTGCGCTTAATTGCCTTCCTTGAGGTGAAATGAATAACACCTATGTATATATTGAGAGAATAACACATTGAAATCACGTGTAACAGCGTTGGTTGACTTTTTTTTAAGTTAAAAAATAATCCATTCAAATTTCAAAACCCCTATTCAGTTCTTTTTTTCCGGGAAGCCATATTTCAGTTGAGTATGTCATTAATGTTTTGCCCTCGGAAATCGTAACTCCAGGAAAGAGGTCCAATAACACTTTCCATAAAATGTAAATCCCTCTTTGGGGCTTTTCGTTTGTTATATCTGCAAAGATTTTCATACCGGAAACATAAAAAATAGAAGAAACATTCATTTTCAATCCGACATTATTTCGAATTGAGGTAAACTTTACATTTTTAGATATGGAAATGCCCCACCAAGAAATGTACACTGCTAAAAACAAAAAAAAGTAGTGTGTGTGTGTGTGTGTGTGTGCATGTATATATAGTCCTGCATGTCATTTCCTTTCCTGTGCCTAACTCAAAGTTGTTTGGTTATATTTTTCCATACAACTGAGAAAGACATAAGAAAAACAAAATTTTGTTATTAGCACTTTTTACATTAGATCATCTTTAATGAAAGTCTTGCCATATATGCTGTCTCATATCCAACACGAGCTATGTAATGTGCGGTTTTCATTCACTCTTTCTGCAATTTTCCCACAGTAGCCCATCAGTTGGTTCGTACTTGGCAAAAAAAAGTCTACATTTACTTCTTGAATCGCTAAGTCGCCTTTGAAATTTTAAAAAAACAAAGTGTTAAAATTAGCTCTCGTCTTATTTTATAACCAAAAATTAAAAATACATTCAAACTAAAACTAAAATGCTTTCAAACATTAAAAATAAAAATAAAGTATCTTCAAGTTAATTTCACCCGGTTTCAAAGAGAATTGAACACTGGTCTAATTTATCTACGTTGTGTTTGAATCACGGAAGGTTATAATTAATTAAATGTTAATGCTCAAGCTGTTTCTCGTTCAAGATTTCATCTTCTGCATTCATTGAAAACGTAACATTGGAACGCAGGAAGGAAGGGCGAACTAGAGTGTAATTACAGATGGAAATTATAAACAAACAAATGAGAAGAGATGAAATAGGAAATTTATGAAAAGGAGAGAAGGTGAAAAGGAAAAGAAATTGAGAGCTGAAGAAATTGTAGAATGAGACGAAGTTTCATAGACAATAAGAGAAAGAAGAATAAATTAGGGAATCATTTAAAGAAACATACAGCAAACAAAGAGGAAATTATTAAATAAAAAAATATAAGAATTGGCGCAATAAGAAAAATGGGAAAGAAAGGAAACTATAAAAGACATGATTTGGTGGAAAGCAGGGAAATACAGATAAAAAGAAAGGAAGAAGAAAAAGAAATTATTTACCACAGATTCAGAAGAATAAGAAAAAAAAAGACGAACAAGACTACCTTTAAAAGAAATGTCAACCGAGACAGTAAAAAAAAAGGATAACTGAAAGAGAAAAAGGAAAAATAAGAGTAAAGCGGAAAAAAAACGAGTGAGAAAAAAAAAAAAAAAAAAAAAAAAAAAAAATCCGGAAAGACAAAGAATAAAAGAAAAGACAAATAGAGAAAGAAGAAGAGTAAAGAGAAAAAAAAAACTTAGGAAGAAAAACAATGCTAATAAATGATTGAAAGAAGAAGATTTGGATGAAGATGGCGCAAATATTTTTTGTAACGCCCGTTTATAGGAGAGACTTTGTAAATCACAGATAGAAGAATAGTAACGCTTTCGAAGAATACTCGGCCAGTCGCCGATAATCCCCACATATATATATTTTTTTTCCTTTACCCGTCATGTGATCTAATTATTTCAAGATAACGTCGACTGTGCGTTCCTTGTTCAAACCCAAGTATCAGAAATGATACTTTATTCCTATTTGACAGATACGAATAAATAAAAGAACACAAGTATCTGAGAAAAGAGAAATAAAACAAATAATGATATAAAAAACTAATGCTGTACAAATTATAACAATTATTCAAAACAGCAAAGATCAATGATCTAGATATTTTTAATCGGTATCCCCCATGCAAGACAGTAAAGCCACTAAGACACAATGGGTTATAGATTGTTGAAGGTTAAGAAACAGAAACATTAATAATGAGCGGGAAGAGCTAACAGTAAACAATAAGGCAGTAGGTAGCGATTGACATTCGAAATTGCGCGGGCCGTCTATGAAACCGCCATACGATAGAACTGACCGAAGTGAAGAGAAGGAATGATATCCCCATCTCATACAAACTCACAGTATAAACGTTGTTGAGACAAAGAATCTCGATGAAGTCGGACCGGTAATGAAATCGTCATGAGAATAGATTAAACGAAATGAAGAGAATGTATGCCAACCCCAACTCACACAAACTCCCAGTTTCAGTGAAGATAACAATGATCTAACTGAAAATGAATCAACCCTGCAATAGAAGCTCAGAAACAAAAATATCAGTTTTCCACCAAAGAATAAGACGTTGAATATTATACAATAGAAAATCCAAAATTTCAGGGTTGCCGGTCCGGAGCCGGTCCGTAATGTTATGATTTGCACACAGACTCGGCCTGATTCCATAATGGTATGGTATTTTGGCTATTGCCTCTCTAGGAGTAAAGTTAAAAAAAGTGACACACTGAAATTCATATGTATTAAATAGACAAGTGAGAGAGAGAGAGAGAGTGAGAGAGTGAGAGGGTAAGAGAAAACAACAACAACAAAAAAAAACAAACGAAAAGAGAGAGAAAGAGAAATAGAAAAAAAAAGAGAAAAAAATGTGTATTTGATTTCAGTCGACTGAACCAAGTAAAAAGTTGTTTTTTTTTTCTTCTTTTGAACTATATCACATACATCACACAAATGCTTTTGGGATGCATCTTTGGCCACCCACCCACTTTAATTTCGCACAAATGCCTTTTTACCTTGAAATACCGGTTTCCGTACGATCACCGACGTTAAGCAACGTTAAATCTGGTCAATACCGAGATGGGTGACCGATTTGGATAAGCTTGGATGCGCGTGTGGTCTAATATATAATGGCTCGGAATTATCAATCACAGAGACAAGATCCAATTCCCGTTGTGTTCGTTATATTCACATGCGCGCAAATAGCATAAGGTATGAATTCATCTCTTTCCCCCAGCTATGGGATAAATAGTAAGACTTCTATCACTGAACCATTATTATTTAATAAAATATATTTTCTGGTTTTAAATAACCTGAAAAAAGTTGAAAAGCCGTAGAAAGCGAATGAATGAGTCAATCAAAATATTACTATTATTATTATTATTATTGAATATATATATATTGATAACGTAGAAGTTCGAGCTTCTGCTAGATTATTATGCAACCTTATCAATCAAAGACTAATGAGTTTGCGAAAGGATCCGAATCTAGCTCTTCTCCTTCCACATATGCATTAAATAGCAGGGCAAACTAGGCTCTCTAGCCTTAGCTGGTAATATATCAACAGCCGGAATTAATTGTTGGGCTTCAGGTAGCAAAAAGCTCCGTAAAATTTACTTGTCAAGAAAACAATTGTGGTGAAGCAGTGAAAATGGGTTCTGTATGAAAAATCCAGGACGTCAGAGACAGAGAAAGCAGGAGAGAAAGAGAGAGAGAGAAAGAGAGAGAGAGAAAGAGAGAGAGAGAGAGGGGGGAGAGAAAAAGAGAGCGTATTTAACAACCTCCATCAATTATGCAGACTTTGGCAAACAAAATCAATCAAGTTAAAACTTTATCAAATATAAGGATATTTTTGTACGAATTGCAATTCCCTTTGTGAAGTTATTTTTACATTGAGTATTGGATCTTTGCTATTCATGTAGAATTTATTAACCCATATTCCCACCAACTCTCAATCTGTGCACTAAGCATTAATGGGTCATATATATATATATATATAATATTAATAGCGGATAGAAAAAATATAATTAATACAGGAGTTCTTATTTAATTTCTTTTAATTATTACCAAATTTTTCAATAGGCATTGCGGGGTCACAGGGTACAATCTATAATTAATAGCGATTTTCTATAAACCAGTAATTTATACCAGATGAAAAAATATAATTAATACAGGATTTTTAATTTAATTTATGGCTTAATAGCGACGCCCTCCTATAAAACTGAACAGCAACTTATTTTAGCTGTTTTTTTTTTTTGGTTTTTTTTAATAAGGGAGTTGATTTTAATGTTATATTTAGATAAATGAACGAATGGCGTCGGGTTTTCGACTGCCTTGAACCTCTTAGTTTCGCAACTCAGGCAACCATCTGGTCAGGCTGCGAGCTTCGCGTAAACGCGTAGCGCAACGCGTGAGCGTTTGTAAAGTTCGCGCACGTGTCGTTCCACACACCAGCCTTGATATCATGAACTGAAGAACTCGACGCAGGCGAGCCGGGAAAGAGTCGGGCGAAGAAGTGGTTCGGCCGTTTGAAGTGATCGTGTGGCCCGCGGATTTGTCCTTGCTCGTAAACTACAACTTATCACGTAATTCCCATTGATTCTGGCAATAGTTATACACCGGCCACAGGTATTATTCGTAACTACAGACATCGCTTATCCGTTACAGGTGGATACTATGATTGCCAAGCAAATCGCTGGAGGCCAATCAAGTGGTCTTCCAAATTTTACTGTTTTGTTGTTTATTATTTATTTGTCGCTAGTTTCCTTGTAGTCGGACATCGTTTGTTTAGTATTTACTTTTATTTTTAGGTCCTTGGATTTTCTTTTCCTTCTTCTTCATTTTCATCTTCGTTTTCTTCTTGTTCCTCTTCTTCTCTCGACATAAATCATATTAACCGGGCTTATGTGGACAATTCATTGAAATGTTTCTTCTTCTTCTTCTTCTTCTTCTTCTTCTTCTTCTTCTTCTTCTTCTCCTTGCCCTTCTTCTCATCTCTTTTCTTTCCTTCTTTCTTTCTTTCTTTCTTTTTTCTTTCTTTCTTTCTTCTTCTTCTTGCCCTTCTTCTCATCTCCTTTCTTTCTTTCTATCTTTCTTTCTTTCTTCCTTTCTTTCTTTCTTTCTTTCTTTTTTCTTTTTTTCTTTCTTCTTCTTCTTCTTGCCCTTCTTCTCATCTCATTTCTTTTCTTCTTTCTTTTCTTTCTTTCTTTCTTCTTCTTTTTCACTTTCCTTTCTGACTCTTCTCCTATTTCTTCTTCTTCCTTTTCTGTTTCTACGTTATATCCCACTTCTTCTTCTTCTTCTTCTTCTTCTTTTATTTCTTCGTCGCTTCCTTCCTCCTCCTGTTCTTCTTCTTTTTCTTCTATTTTTCCTTCTTCTTCTTCTTCTTCTCCCTCTTCTTCTTCTTCTTCTCCTTCTTCTTCTTCTTTCGACGTAAATAAATGGCATAAACCTGTCTTATCTGGACATTTAACAGAAATGTTCTTCTTTTTCTTCTTCTCTCGACGTAAATAAATCATATTAATGTGGCTTATCTGGATTTTCATTAATATGTTGCTTCTTCTTCTTCTTCCTCTTCTTCATCATCTTCTTCTTCTTCCTCTTCTTCATCATCTTCTTCTTCTTCTTTATCGTCTTCTTCTTCTTCCTCTTCTTCATCATCTTCTTCTTGTTCTTCTTCTTCTTCTTCTTCTTCTTCTTCTGTTGCTGTTGTTGTTGTTGAACATCTTGTCCTTCATCATTTTTCTGTTCTACTACTACTGCCTCTTCATTTTGTTCGACTTCACCTCCTTCCCCACCTCTTCCTACTCCTCTTTTTCTGCTGATGCCGAGCTCCTTGTTTCTCCTCATTCTTCACCTCCCGATTTTTCTTATTTTTCTTATTCCTCTTCTTTCTTTCTTTCTTTCCTTCTTTCTTTCTTTATTCCTTCTTTCTTTCTTTCTTTTTCGTTCCTTCGCTTCTTGCTTTATTTCTTTATATCACTTACCATCTAGTTTTATTACTATTTGGCTCTCTCGGGTTTCTCATAAAATCTCCTTTTTTTCTCCTCTACTTCCGCAAAGCCTCTTACTAACTTCCTCTTACTTACACTATTTTTATTGCACATTTATTATGTCACCGTTAATCGCTTTATCTTAGTCCTTTTTCATTTTTCACACTTTATTGCTGCTTGTCTTAAACAAATCCGAAAGACTTTTCTAATCTGGATTTAAATAGATTCTCGTAAATCTATTCCGCTTCTTTCTTCCTTTCGTTTTTATTTCATCCTTCCACCCTGCCTTCCTTTCTGTCTATCTCCCCCCCCCCGCCTTCCTTCCTTTATTTCTTTCTCTCTTTCTCTCTCTCTCTTCCTCCCTGCCTTCCATTCTCTCTCTCTCTTCCTTCCATCCTTCCTTCCTTCCTTCCTTCCTCCCTTTCTTTCTTTCTTTCTCATTTCTTTCCTTTCTTCCTTCCTGCATTCCTTCCTTCCATCCTTTCTTTCTTTCTTTCTTTTTTTCTTTCTTCTGTTCTTTCTTTCTTCCTACCTTTCTTTTTCTTTCTTTCTTTATTCCTTCCTTCTTCCTTCCTTCTTTTCTTTCTTTCTTTATTCCTTTCTTTCTTTATTTCTTTATTCCTTCCTTTCTTTCTTTCGTTCTTTCTTTCTTTATTCCTTTCTTTCTTTATTTCTTTATTCCTTCCTTTCTTTCTTTCGTTCTTTCTTTCTTTCTTTCTTTCTTTATTCCTTCCTTTCTTTCTTTCGTACTTTCTTTCTTTATTTATTCCTTCCTTTCTTCCTTCTTTTCTTTCTTTCTTTCTTTCTTTCTTCCTTCCTTTCTTTCTTTCTCTCTTTCTTTATTCCTTCCTTCCTTCCTTCCTTCCTTCCTTTCTTTTTTTTTTCTTTATTCCTTTCTTTCTTTATTCCTTCCTTCCTTCCTTCCTTTTTTCTTTATTCCTTTCTTTTTTCTTTCTTTCTTTCTTTCTTTCTTTCTTTCTTTCTTTCTTTCTTTCTTTATTCCTTCATTTCTTTCTTTCTTTCTTTCTTTCTTTCTTTCTTTCTTTCCTTCTTTCCTTCCTTCCTTCCTTCCTTCCTTCCTTCCTTCCTTTCTTTCGCATGAGCTAATTCTGTTTCTTCTTTCGTTATCTTTCTTTCTTGTATCTTTCTCAGGCTGATTTTTGTACTAATCTTCTTCCTGGATTTTTTTCCTTTCTTCATTCCGTAACTGTCCTTACGATTCTTGCTTTATTTTTATTCCCTCCTCAGTTTTTCTTTACTTGTCTTTCTTTCTTTTTTTTTTTCTTTTCTTTTTTTTTTCTTCTCACTCTCCCTCTTCTGCCTCTCATTCTTTTTCGGCTTCTTCCTTGTTATTTTTCATTTATTTTCAATCATTCAAATTTCATGTTTTTTTTTCTTTTCGCTATTTTCTTCCCTGCATCGTTTTGTTCTTTCATTATTGACGCCATTATTCCTCACTATCTTTCATCATTTTGTTCCCTCTTTTGTTTTCTATCACTGCAGTCTTCTTTTTTTTTAAATATTTCCCGCCTTTTTCTCTTTATTTCTTCTTTATTCTTTTTTATTCTGTTCCTGTTTCTCTTTCAAAGGGGCATTTTTAATTTCATGAAACGTTATTCGCTCTTTGCTACTCTTTCTCCTTTTTCTCCTTCTTACTATATATTATGTTTTCTTCTTCTAAACGCCTTCGTGATATATATATATATATATATATATATATATATATATATCATAGATTTTTCTCCATCTTTAGTAAAACACGTTCTGCCTGTCTTCATCCTCATCCTTATGCTTCTTCTTCTTATGTCCTTGTTATAAATCATAGTTTTTACACCTTTACTCCATCACGTCCACTTACTCCATGTCATCCCCTCCTCTTTCTTCTTCTTCTTCTTCTTCTTCTTATTCTCGTTATAATTGTTATTATTATATTTATCATTATTATTATTATTATTATTAGTAGTAGTAGTAGTAGTAGTAGTAGTCATGGATTTTTATCGTTTTTCTTCCTCCATTTCCTTTCTTTTTCTTATATTTCTGGGTTTTTTTTCTTATCTTTCATATCTCCTTCATACTTTCTTCTGCCGTTTCCTTTATCTCCCTGTGTCACACTCTGCCTTCTCTTCTTCCTCTTCTTTCATCGCCCTATTTCCGTTTCTTTCACTGCACTGATAAAGCAAAGCCCACAGATAAACCAATGTTCCGCTGCCAAATAGATGCAACTTAATGGCATTAGAATTAATGACATTCCTAAGTTAGTTGTACCATCAGTGTCTCAATGAAATGAAATCCCCGCCCAGAACGACACGCCACTTCTACCACCCCAGATTCGGACACATATACTTTGACCACCACTGCCATACCTCTCTATATAAGCAGCATCAAAAATATCCAGTTACCCAACGTAAATTCTACATTTTTCTTTTACGTATAGTGTATCTTCCGGATGTGGGCGATCATCGCTCTCTCGCGGCTTCCTATTCTTCGAAGCGTTATTATCCTCCCCAGTCTACTTTCTACCATCCTTTTATACAATAGGTAGGTTACTAGATGTTTCTCATTGCTTCTATCTTGATTTCGGTATGTCCTGTGAGTGCCAGATTCTCCAAGCCGTTTATCTCGTTATATGTCCCTGTAATTCCGACAGTCTTTAAATAAGCATAAGCAAAAGTATCATTTTCGTAACTATTTTCTTTAAAATGTCCTTATTCCTCAAGTTTTCCGTTCTTTGTACTCTAAGCATCAATCGGTAGGAGTCACGTTTCTGACATCTCGCTTCTCCTCTTTGAAGAAAT